AATGGGTTTAATTGAACTGGTGTATTGGACAGTTTAACAACGTTAAATGTATATTATATAAATATAAACTGATCAATTATACCTACTGGTTTTAAAAACGTTAAATATATATTAGATATATATTAGATATATTAGATATATATTATATTAGATATATATTTAACTCGGGTAAGGGGATCGGAACCGGGGTCCTGCGGAAAGTAAAGATGTTGGTTGCTCAACGTCGTAATGAAAAAAGGTGCGCGAGATCCTTTCTCTTTTCCTTTTCTTCTAATTAGAATGTAGAATGTCTTCGCGTTTGGGTGCAGGCGCGTGTATGTGTGTTAATGTGTGGTGTTCTCTCGCGTGATGAGGTGAATGGCTGATTTGGTGTAGTGAATTGATGTAAATGTGATGCGACGTTGCTACTCATTTAGCCATCCCGGCCCTCCTAGGCGAGTATTTAGCCTAGAAGCCGCTGCAGTTGCTGTAGCGTAGCTACAACGCTGCTGAGACCTGTTGACCGGCGGGATTGCGGCCTAAGTTAATGGCGCCGTGTTGATGTTGCCCGGTTTTGGCGCCAGGGACGAGATTCTGCTGGAGAGGGTCCACGCCGGCGGTATGCCGTCACAGGAGTTCTTTGAGAACGCCTGACGTTACCGCTGGTGCGAGGAACCGGTGGTCGCCCGGAGTCGCGTCTGGTGGTACGGTGTAGCAGCGTATGATGAGCCCGCACATGGATTTGGCAACGATTATGTGATGGACACTCCTGAGTTTCGTCTGAAGTTGCCAGGCAATTCAGGCGATACCCGTGCACCTGTGCCACCTGCTGACGTTGCATCGGCGACATGCCTTTGAAGATGCCTCAGTGCGATAGCCGATGCGGGCGGCGACATAGTGGACAGACAGAGGCTGCCGAGCGCATGGTTGGCGTTGACGATGATGCCATATCCACTTCCATATTACTCTATGAGAGAAATGATGATATTAATAATATATTTTGGAATTTACAATAATATTGACTTTTGTGCCACGATATTAGGCATGAATAGGATGTTATTTTTTTATCAGACATTTATGTTAAGTCTTTTGTTTCGTTTATGTTATTCGAGGTTTCGATTTGGTAAGCAGTTTATATGTTTTATCGATTTATTGATTTACTAACGGTTTCGGTTTTACGTTTCTTTATCTTAGGCGGTTGGTAGAAAGCATAATTTGACGAGCGGTCTGGTTAGCGTTCCGGTTTGAGTGCGGAGATTAACTACTCGAACATCACCGTCGGACGCGTAATGAAGTTGTTTTATGCGGCCGAGTCGCCCTATCGTCGGAGGGAGACAATCGTCTTGTTTAAGGACGCAGTCTCCAAGCTTGAAACTCTTCTTGAGTTTTCCACCGGTATCTCTTGTGAAGGTCGTTTATGTAGTCTTTCTTCCATCGGCGGCTGAAATCATGATGGAGGATTTTAATTCGCTCCCAGCTGTTTAATAAGGATAGCGACTCCACGCCTGGCTCAGGTATGGCCAGAATGGGTGCTCCTTTTAGAAAATGCCGTGGGGTTAAGGCTGTGAGGTCGGAGGGATCTTGCGAGAGTGGTGAGAAACGTCTAGAGTTTAGTACGGCTTCGATACGAGCGAGTAATATAGTAAATTCCTCATAATTGAATTTATGGTTACCAGCCGTTTTCTTTAAATGGGACTTAAAGCTCTTTACTGCTGATTCCCAGAGTCCGCCCATATTATGAGAACATGGGGGTATGACTTGCCAATCGATCCCTTGGGGTGCGTACTTTTTGACAATTTCGGGGGATACTTCTTTCATAAATTGTAAAAACTCCTTTTCCATGGCTCTTTGAGCTCCGACAAAGTTTTTCCCATTGTCGCTCATAATTTTTAAAGGAAATCCGCGCAGTAGACAGATCCGAACATAGCTCGAGGTGTACTGCCTTTGTTGTAAAACACACAAAGACAGCCACATACTCTTTTCTAAATGAGGAAAACCTTAGCATCGAGGCCTTTATCTAGAAAGGTCTAGAAAAATCAGCCCAGAGATGGTAAAGGGTAAAGCATAGTTGCAGCGTTCAGGTGGTAGGGCTGCCATGATCTGCGTACGCATCTTGTGCTTGTACATAGTACACTGTTTACACATGAAAATGGTTTTTTTAATTTGTGGCTTTAGACGCGGTATATAGAACTCTTGTCGGACCATTTGTTGCATCAAGCAATGCTCACCATGAAGTGTAAGCTGGTGTAGATATATTAAAAATAAGTAGGTAAAACGGGATTTTTCTGGGATAATGATGGGATGGCGTTCGTTGTAACTAAGGCTGGAGTTAGCTAGTCTTCCATTTGCCCGTATTAATCCCTTAGCGTCCAAGAATGGGTTTAAGACGAGAAGCGAGCTTCCCCTTTCGAGAGGTCGCTTTTCAAGCAACTTTGATTTCTCTTTGCTGAAATAGCGGGTTTGTGTATACAAGATTAGACTGACCTTGGAATGCTGCAAGTCGGAATGTGTTAGTTGTATGTAAGAATCGTTTGATATTCTTTTCACCTTTTCTTTAACTCTATGGATGAATTTGTGCATATAAGCGACTACCCTTAGTGCTCGAGGAAATGATGAAAATCTGTGGAGAATATCGTCCTCTTCTGGAGTGATATGAAAATTTTTTATTTTCCGACTTTCCGGAGGTATAATATTCCGAGCAGGAGACTTTGGCCAGAATTCTTGTGATTCTGTTAGCCATGTAGGACCATTCCACCAGAGTGTAGTGCTGGTGAGGTGAAGTGGTTTGCAACCTCTTGTCCCAAGATTCGCTGGGTTATCTGCTCTTGCAACATGTTGCCATTTTGCTGAGCCAACTAACTCTAAGATTTGAGATATGCGACTCGATACATATGTCTTCCAAGTATAGGGTGGTTTCTCCAACCATGAACTATTTCTGAGTCTGACCAGAGACACATTTTGTGATCGTTTAATTTGAGATGGGTTTGAACAATTGAAATTAATTTTGCTAACAGAAGAGCACCATTTAGTTCGAGCCGTGGCAGGCTTAGCGTCTTCAAAGGTGCAACTTTGGCTTTCTCGCAAAATCTTAATTTATGACCTCCCTTATAGAGTTCACACAATGATTGCCATTGACTACTTTGATTTGACACGAATGTTTGACTTTTATTAACGTGTCTATTATATTGTATGTTATTACTGGCTTGGGGTTTGAACAAGATTTTACTTGAGTCATTTTGATGACTTTTTGGCTAATAGTTTTTTGTCTTTTCGCTCAGCTATCTCGTATTGAGCAGCGATTAATGTTTTCATCTGTTGCCAGGTGGGCATTATTTTTCTTTCCACTAGTGCTTGTTCCTATCGTAGTAACACAGCATCAGGCAGTGTTTCTGCGGAAATGGTTACTATCATAGGGTACCACGATTTTGTGGAGATATTTTGTGTTTTTAACACTGATAAACAATTGGTCACTGTGTAGTATAAGTTTTGAAATTCCTGGCTAGTTTCTTGTTGAATTTTTGGCAAATGCAATAAAGTTTTTATTGGGTTTTCTATCATAACCCTTTAATTTTTGTACCTTTCGACAAGTACATCCCAAGCCAGTTTAAAATTTTTGTCATTTAAAGCGAATTGCTTGACGATACTGCCCGCTTTCCCTTTTTTTTATACCTGAGATGGTATAGCTTTTGTGCTTGTGGAAGTTTAGGATGTTTTATATAAACGGCAGTAAATATGTCCCGGAAGGACGGCCATTGGTCATAACATCCATTAAAAACTTCAGTATCACAAGCTGGTACTTTTAGATACATGCCTTTATCTAGTTCTCTTTTGGTGTTGTAACTACTCTGGGAGGGGGAGTAGTGGCTCTACTTGGCCTTACTAAACTTATTTGTTCAGTTATCATTCCCTTTGTTAGCTCGTAGTGATCGCGGCAGTTATGACACTTGGCCGCCGAAGCCTTTGTGTTTTCTGGGAGATCTGCGTCGTCAGTGTCTAGTACTGTATCGTACGCTGCCAGAAGGCGTGCCCATAGATTGTTAACACTTTCTAATTTCATATTTAAAACTGATTCCGTAACGTCAGTAATAGGGGAAGCTTGAAACCGTGTGCAATATCTTATAAAGCTATCACTTTCAGTGATAAATTTCGATATTATAAGATCTTTTGATCTCTTTTGCTTTGTACCGTGCTTAGAGCGTGTAGCTTCTACAGGTGTGCTTTGTTTATTCACTAAAATACGCGTTAATCGTTTTTGTTAACCGCTCTATTGTATTTAAGTAGTTGCGATTTTATATATATTTTTAAATATTTTCTATTACGGATTTATCCGTATGTCCTTGTAAATTAGTACTCCTAAAGGCGGTATACGAAGTCAATATCCTTTGTACATATATGTGCACGCTATGTACGTATTGATGTGCATATGATATGCCAAATTGGTTGGAATTCAATTGGTTTTGTAGTACAAAGAACAAGGAGGTAGGGTCAAATAATATTTGCCTATACAGGCTTAGAGTATGTACTATATAAGTATGTACTAATATGTTTATCGTTAGTAAAATTTTATTATTATGTTTTGTTTTTTTTTGTTAAAATTCCGTTTATTGTTTATAATTAAACTATTATCGCAGCTTCCAATAATTTAAGATTTATTATAGCTTTTATGTTTGGATATACCCCCTAAATCAGGGTATGTAGCGTATGCAAAAAGAATACCGAATATATGTATACAGTATGTACTATATTATATATTATATTTGCGAGGTCAGAATTTAGCGAGAAAAGAAAATGCACAATTTGCAGGTCATTAGCCTCTGCATTTGCCGATTAGCAAGTATATGCCTCAATATATTAATATTTGAATGTTTGTTTGTATGTATGTATTTTATAAGTAAGATTTGGGTAAGTGCATATGTAAATATGTAAGTTTGTATTTATTCTCGCATTGGAAAGTTCTCTCGCGTGATGAGGTGAATGGTTGATTCGGTGTGGTGAATTGATGTACATGTGATTCGACGTCGCTACTCATTTAGCCACAATACAAAAGCCAATACTCTTGCCTTTATCTCTCTAACCACGTTTGGCGGAAGACCGGCTTTCGAAATTTTTGCTGCCAAGGATGCAAAATGTTGTGCCGTGGAATTCGTCTTTTGCGCTACTCCAACTAATGCCAAATTATTGCGCCTGCCGATCTCGAAAACTTCTCAAACGCGTTACTGTTCTTTTCCTGCGAAAATGATTTGGAAACTAATTAGGAAATCTGTCAAAAAATATTAATAATAATAATAATAATAAAATAAAATATACCTTTTGTACACGTGTATCAGAAGATGTGAGCTGAAACGTTTCTATTGGAGAATCAATATTTCTTGTAGCCAACACTTCACTTTCAACCTCTTCGCTGAAACTACTAATAGTACCGTAAAATACATTATAAATTGCAGCGCTTATACAAGTCCCGGAGGCTCTTCCACCTCTTTCTGCACTCCGATTCTATAAATTAAATTAATATCACAATTTATTAAATTTTATTCATAATTTAACTTACCGCTCAACCTCGTGTGTGCAGAAATTTCCTTCCACGCAATGTCTTTTTTCCTAAAACTTTTGTAATCTCTGTGTGAGATATCGCAAATAAGTTGGTAATTACGCACTTCCTCGATCAAATTTTCGTCTAAATTCATTGTGAAATCTGAAATATAACATTTTAGTTGTAAACGAAACATAATTATATGTATATAATAAATGTAAAAATCTTATAAAATTAAATTAATGCGTACAGCGAGCAAATCAATCCACTTTCTGCAACACAATATATATATATAACAGCATATACAAAACATCACAGTTGTCGATTTTGTATGTACACAATTTCGTTGTTACCATACTAATACCTTTCACTTCAATAAAATTTAAATACTTTGTTTAAAGTGAATTTTTTTATGCAAAAAATAAGTAAATATGTAAATTTATGTCTTTTGTCCAGTTTTATTCTCCTCTTTTATTTATTCCCTTTAGTATAATTTTATTTTTTGACTAATTAATTATTATATCATTCCACGTTTTTTAACGTGCGGTTGCCTTTTTCTTTAAGTTATAAGCTTTGAGCTTCCATTTCTGTAATTTCAATATATCTGGTAATTTGAGCTATAACCTATTATGCCAACGAATTGTATGATATTGTTTTAATATATCTCTCAGCTTTCGTGTCCATTTCGAAGTATTCATTAAGCCATTTCAAGTGCAAACACTCAAAATACTTTTTATAGGTTTTTTCTAAAATTTGTCAAAATATTTCTTCACGTCAAAAATATGAATATTTTTGAAAGAAAGGGAGACGCAAATAATTATAAAGGGTGATCCATTTTGAGTTTCTATTGTTTTTTAAGAAAAATCACAGAAACTTCAAATTTGGTTTCGAGTTCAATTTCAGGAACCAAATAGTCGGTTATCGCGAGATAATGGTCGAAATTGATTGACAAACCACATCAAACCGTTAGTTTTTCTAGATAAAAAGGCAACTTTTCAATCTCTTCTTCTCAAATGTGGCTACTTTGCTTGTTTACATCTCCATTGAGCCAGAAATAGGCCTTATCGCTGAACAAAATTTGGCTCGAAAACGTCGGTTCTTCTTATAACTTTACAGGAGAACAGAGCTTATTTTATGCCATACGTCTGCCCAAGGTTCTGCCAACGGCAAAAAATTTATTATCCATGGTAGTACGCTTAGTAGGCCGACTATGTCCTTATAGAACGTGAATCTTCGTAATGAAGCTGAAAATTTTAAACGTTGTTCACTAATAAATCTTTCCATGATAAACTACCAAGCAATACTGAGTGTGATTTGTAAAAAAACAGGCCACGGTTTACTTGGATCACCCGTTACTTACATATTGCAGTTAGTTTATTTTGTTGGATCTTCGATGCTCACCATTCAGGGTAACATGCCCCACGCATTTTATTTATCCCTCCTCACTAAACTTTTAATAAGTAGAGCAGGAAGTCTCACCTAGAAGCGACAAATAATATGCAAAAGCCTATCAAGTTACTAAATGAGCTATGAGCAGAACCTAACGCCCAACAATTAGTTAGATTAAAACAGAAAATCTTTGCCAATTTCATTATTATTCTCAAGCCCACCAATAGCTGTAAGAATGTGTTCGTTACGGAATGGAGCAGGGAAACGCTCAATTACTCACACGTAATTTGCATTATTTACGTGTCCCCTAGTATGTACCATGCGCTACAGGCTGGCATTCGTTGTACAATTGGCATACTGGTGAGCTACACCAATTGCGGTTCTATCTGCTCTACAGTGCTGGTATGCAGCTTTGCTTCGCTTTGTTCACACCGTACACCGATCCACTGAAAGGTTCGATGGTAAAGTGATTCAGTGGACGGATATAATGACAAATGCTGGAAGATACCTAATGTTCGCCGCGCTCTGTTTTTACATTTGGACACGTCGCCAAAATATGATCAGACTTTGGGAGGAACTGGACTTTATGTAAGATTGTATATTACCCGCAGTTGAGGGTCATGTCTCAATGCGGACACGTTGGCTACTTCTGGTCAACACATATTGTAACCCCGTTAAACTCACTTTATGTGCTGCTGCAATTTTCGCAACAAACCAATGAACATGTCGTAATGACATTTGTCAGTTGGGCTCGGTCAACGTTCCAGGTAATGTTAGCCTACTATACGCTCGTGATTTCTGCGATTTCATGCACAAATAGCAAGCAATCAATGGGGAATTAAAGAGCGTGCTCACGGATCACGGGGATCTGTGTGAATTCGTTTCGCCCATACCCGACACACAAATCAATTTTGCGTTCGTTCTTCACACAGTAAACATGTGCCACAGGCAAGCGGAATATTTCTTGGAATTTATTTCTAATGTTTTACCTATTTCTTTGTATTTCGTTAATAAGTTATTTCAACTTTTATTTTCTCAATTTTATTTTTATATTTATTACGTTTCGTTTGCCAAATTGCCAATTCATATTTTATAAGATCAATAAATTTTGATACGAAATCTTTATTAAGGGGGCCTGTTTTAGAAACTGCAAATCGATTTTTTTTTTTTTTTTGCTTAAATCTCTTTAAAAATAATCTAGGAATATGTCCCCAAAGTTATAGATGGGAATTCGAAATAATATCGAAGTTAGAAGGGAAATAGTGACCGAGCGTTTTTTATGTTTACGATTTTTCTTAATTGGCGACTAAACGTAGTATGGAATATGGGACAAAGTTTATTATCTTTGATATTAAAATATCCTCTATTTAAACTATAATAAATAAACTAAGAAAAGTCAAGTTTAAACATACATATTTTTAAACAACATTAAGTAAAATTTATTTTGGACAAAAACCACTTCTTCCAATTTTTAATTATTTTCTAAATTTTACACTTTTTTTTTGGAATTTTCTTAGTTTAACTAAAAGATAGGTTATTAAAAAAATGAATCCGCCCCGCCCGAAAAATGCACTTGCGAGATGCATCGGGCAATTGCTTCCCAAAGGCAGAATATCAAAGATTTCGTATCCAAAAAATTTGTGAAAGATGTTCAAATATATAGCTATAAACCCTAGAAATTTCAATTATTTCTTTCTCTCCAAAAAAAATCGTCAAAAAATAGATTTTTTGAAGCCTCTAAAGCAGGCTCCTCCTTTAACACTTCCAATGTTCGTCTTCGATCTTCAGTGTTCGGCGACACGAGAGAAATGAGATTTTGTGCGCACACAACGCCATGAGTGACATGATCGTAAAAAATCAAATATTTTCGCGAACATGGATCAGTACGCGCACAAGCCCATAAACGAGTAAGAAGCATGCGCACACAAACCAATCGAACTCACTTGTGTGTCGTGTATGGGCACTTTAAGCCTACCATATTTTCGCAATAATGAGACGCATGTAGGTCGTGTACGTTTACGCATGCTGACGCAACGTTTGTCCCTCTTGGTTGCGGCGCATTTCGAATACCTGCACTTCGCGTCTTGCGCTTCGGGCAGCTCATTTTCTTCTTATACTAATTAAGTGTTTCATTGTTTGACACATATTTCATTTGAATTCGCTCTACAGTTTGATCGCATGTCTGTTATTAGAGGTGCTGTATGCAAATTTAGTGGCGAATATCATCGGGGTACCGTGGTTACTTTCGTCTTATGCGCGGAACACAATGCTCGCGACAGACTGCAGCAGCAAGACAGTGAACTGAAAACGGCGTTGTGAATCCTACTACATGAACGTTTGTGAGAGGGCAGCAACATAACAATGGCCGGCATGTACACAAAACAACGCAGTTGTCCATTTTGCATGTACACAATTTCGTTGTGGCTATACTAATACCTTGCATTTCAATAAAATTTTAATATTTTGTTCAAAGTGAAATTTTTAAGAAAAAAATAAGTAAATAGGTAAATTTATTTTTTTTAAATTATCAATTGTTATTATAAATGATGTAACAGAACTATTTTATGCTTTTATTTGTAAAATAACGTCAGGGTTGTCGGGCTTTGAGTAATATTACATTTTACGTATTAGTGGTATCACCACTCTACCTCATCTCTCTATCTTCCATTCTACTGTCAACTCTACTGTCGTCCTACTGCCGTTGGCAAATATAGGATAAAATTGAAGTTAGCGAGAACGACAACTGTCGGCCTGCTGTCGTGTAGTCGTGAAGCTGCCAAAGTAGGTCCGTCCATAAGAACGTGTATGTTTTAATATTTCACAGATGTCGTTTGCAGTCCGTCGCGAGCATTGTATTCCACACATTATAATAAAAGTGAGAAGATTATGCATGAGGCTAGCGAGGTTAAGTTTTCCTCTCTCAGCTGGATAATTTTTCTCTGTACCTCTGTTGCAAACGTCTACGTGTTATAGCAGAGCCAGTGAAAAACGCTACTGCCTTCCTYCCTTTTCCTTCCTCATCGGTGAAATGTGTGAGCAGTGAAAAACGTGGCAAAAACGCAGAATTAACCATCTTGTTTGTTTGCATTTGCACAATGTTGCCATTGCTCAATACGCATATATAGTGTTGTACACATCTATGTTTTCAATTACAATTTTTTATAATATAAAATATCAAAACTGAAAACAAACTATTAAAAATAGTTTAAATATTTACAAATAATAGCATTCGACTCTGATTTTGAATTATTTTAAGAAAATTTCAAACATATTGAACAGATTGAATTATAAAAGTTGATAATTACTACAGTATATTATATTGGCAACCCTGGGTTGTGAGAGAGCAATCAGCTGACACGTTTCCACGGCAAAAACCAAAATGCTGTAGATTCCCACGTCATCCTACGTCAAAGAGAGAAGGGAGTAGCGTTTTTCACTGTGCACTTACATTGCGCGCCCATAAGATAGGTCGTATCAGCTGACACGACCCACGATTCTACGTTTTTCACTGTTCCTGCTATAACAGTCTGAATACAATTCGATATGAAGCAAGAAATCGGTAATTCAAATTTAGTTTGTAAAAAGTTTCTTATTAAAAAAACAAAAAACAAAATCAAATTATTTCTTAATTCTTATGTTTCTCATATATACATCCTTCATTATATTAAAACAATAACTCTTAGAGAAATTTTACATCTTCCTTTAAAAGAAATTTTCAGAGTCTTTAGGAGCGTCTGTCACTAACTTTATTCAGTAACTTTATTCAAATTGAATCCATGTGAGAATGTGTACTTATAGCGGGTGATCGGACATTTGAGGTTCTCTATTTTTTAATGAATAGCCCAGAAGCATCAAATTTAATGGGCAATGTTTATTCCACAGTGCAACATCTAATCTGGGGGGTGAGAAA